GAGTGCTGCATGAGAGAGAAAGGGGATGGGTGACTGTGGTCAGAATTAGCGATGAGTCACGCTTGGATTTGAATCAGTACATTTCACATCTAATGAAAGCAGGGATGTTAAATAAATTGGACAATACTCTGGCAATTTAGTGATATTTCCACAGTTGTGGTCTTGACTGGTCTTGAAATAAAATCCTCAATATCCAAGAAAAGCCCAACTACAAATGCAGTCGAGTCCAAGACGAGACCATCAAAAAGTGGTATTGAGGCTGGTCATAAGACCAAGGCCGGACTTGAGCACTACAACAACACTAATCACAACCTTATACTCAGAGGTGGTGTTGCTTGTATATGAAAAAATCACCAAACCAAGTCCATTTGTATAATTAAAACTTAGTATAACACCGTCTCTTTATTTTCCCCTTTTTCAAACAAAAAATTTGGACTATCCACTTCAGTCTATTGTTTTTGATAAAGAGATTGAAGGTGTCTTTGGGAGAGATGGGGAGTAGTGAGAGATTGTGGTGGTGGAGGGGAGGAGGGGCTTTGAGGAAAATCTGTTTGGAACCATAGAAAGATATTAATTACTTACAGCCTTTCCAATAACCTCCACCTAAAAACAAATTAACTTTATCTTTAACCTAAAATCACATCTTCTGGTGCACAACCTCTTTTTAGCTTTCATCCCTCGGATGAACGACACCAGGTCAGAAACACTCAGAGTTCTGAGCTTCTTCTGAAAAGTTTCTCCAAGAGTTATTTTCCTTTGARTACTCAGAGCCAGGCAGTGGTCTCAGTAGTGCAAAGAGGTCTCTAATTCAATGCCAGAGAATCACACGGACCATTGTCATGGGGTCACATCACCATTTTGTGGCGATTGAGATTGAGCCCAGTTAGGACTCCAACAAGTGTGCTTAAGGTTTTCCTTGTCAGGGCAACAAAAGTTTTTCCACACCTTAGATTTGGACCATTTATCAGTTCCCATCCCTGTCTACAGTCCATCAGCTCCCTCCAGCCAATTGAGTGTTGACGTATAATCCTGGCCTGTACGGCAGTCCTACAGACTGTTGTTGAAATACCTACAACAGGCTCTGGTCCTTTGGAGTGGGCCTGACTGCCAGCTTTTGCAAGTTAGTCAGCTCTCTCCTTGCCATAAATGCCAGTGTGCCCTGGTACCCATTTAACAGTAACACTGTTATCTGTTTCGGCACACTCCCAAAGCAATAATGACGTAAAGTGTGGTCCTTGGATAGCTCTATTAGCAACTTGGCTATCTGTTAGGATAAATATTTCCTTCTGTATACATTGAAGGTCTTTGATTGATGCCACACACTGGTGGATTGCGTATATCTCAGCTTGAGATACTACATTTGCAAAACCCAGTGGGTATCTGTACTCTCTCACCATGGTTGTGCAAAATCGGCACCCCTGCACCTACTGACCCTTTTAGAAGGGATCTATGTAAAACAGTAGAAACAGTTAGGAGACAGGTCCACAATAGAGAAATTACTCCAAGCTGACCAATTTTCAATTTCTGTCTTGAAACTTGTTTAAAAATTATATTTTTTGACCATTCCCTCTCCAGGTCCTGCATTTACTGGAACAGGAGCAACTGCCCAGTCCCAGATTCTAGTGTGCTGTGAGTTAGATAGGTTTTTACCTTTACCTTTCCTTACATCACAAGAAAAATACAACCTCTCCATTTAATTAGCCAAATTATCTCTGCGCATGTGTTAGTTGTGTTGATATAAAAACACACCACCCATTAACCTGTGGTCTATAAAAGAACACAGGCTTAGCAATTAACCCACATTCCCAAACCTATCCAGCTGCCTCCATCTCTGAAAGACTATAATTCCACACAAACATGGTAATTTCCCCCGCAGRGAGCGCACGCCTGGTGTGCTGCTGATTATGGCTCTTTGGAAAACTTCGAAAGACTTTGGTTTCCTGCAGGGAGACCGCATCAGCTGTCACATTCATAATTACAGCCCCTCTACTATTTCTATAAATCGTGTAATTATTGTATATTTGCTATTTTTAATCAGTCATGTAATTACCACCTTCTGTAGTTTTTAGTCAAAATTTCTCCTTGAGCTTTAGTTGCAGTTTTCTTCCTGGACATATAGGACATTTTGGTGCAGTGAAATGTTGTTTTCACCTCATTTTCTGCACAGACAATCCACTAATCCCCTCCAAACTTTTAAAGAATGTTAAAGAGTGCATTCAGATTGCTTTTAGACTGTTTCTTTTGGAATCTTGAAAACATAAAGGCTTTACGCAAACTGAAAACTCACCATAAGATGCTTAAAGTCCATCTGTGAGAAGTCTAAAACAGCTGCCCCACAAAACCGCAACTCGACAAATTTAGGGCAATTAAGAGCTGAGCTCCACTAATTAGGCTGACTAACAGGCAGGGGGTGGGTTGTTGCTTCTACACCAGGTGTTAGCTCCATAGACAGGAAGTCTCAGCAGGAGAAACACCTGGGAATAATAAACTTTGAGCACAGACAACTCAGTTTCAGGCTGGGTGCATGAAAACAAAACCAGAAAGGCTTCAGATAAATAGAAAGCCTTGTTTGGATTGAAGTTTAAAAATGAAACTGTGGTGTTCTTTTATTGGATTCAAGTTTATTTTGAACCTTACATGGTCATGTATGCAAGCATTCATGTTACTGACAGCATTTTTATTTCTGTACGTTTTTTGACACGAATTTCGTTCTGTATTTTTTGTGTTGTTTCAACAAATCTTTTAGGACATACCGGCTATGACTTCGTATTTCAGCAATTTCTAGTTTTTTTATTATTATTTTTTTACATTGTTAGCCATTTTTTGTTCTCATTAAAATGAAGCCATCGTCACCATTCTTAAAACCTAGTTAAACCTTTCATGAACTTTACACCTTTTGTTCTAATTGTTTTTTATTAACTTATTTGTGCAAATTTTAGCTTCCTTCAGCTTCTTTATTGGCTATTAGAACTTTTCTGCTCATTTCAGCTATTCTGCTCATTTGTTTTGGGCCTCTATCAGCTTTTTTTCCTGCTAAGTTATGCTTTTAATTTCAGCCTTTTCTGCAATTTAAGCCACTTTTTAGCTATTTTCAGCTAATTTTAGCCCTTTTCAGCCAAATTCACCTTTTTTCAGTTACTTTTTTCAGCTGCTTAACTCTGAAAATGTGCCCTTTCTGCTTTTTTTGTGCTAGATTTCACAAATTAAGCTATTTTATCTCATGATTTCAGCATTTTTTGACCATTTTTAACAAAGTTTTTTTCTGCAAAAATCTTTCACAATGCATTTTCACAGAAAACGCAAATTTTCTATTTCAAATGTAAGTTGCATGATGTAAGGTTTTTAAAGATTCATTGGATTGAAAGCAGAAAACAATTTGTCATCCTGTCTGGACGAACTTTAGCTCCTTCTAATGRAGAAAATGGTTCAGCTGACACAGAAACCAAATGAATAAACAAAAGGTTATCCTGGGGGTAATTTCAGTGTGCCGTTGGCCTCTGTGCTCACCACAGTCAAGCCATTGATTGCAAAAGGGATTCTGATAATGTGGACTTGTGCAATGTTGATGGCAATCACCGGATCATGAGGAAAATTAGAAACACTCCGAGCGATAACAATAAAAAGTCACAACAGAGGCTGARGTTGTCCTCTCCTCTCTCCCTCCTGCAGGACCAGAGATGTGACGCACAAAACAGAGACAAACTATATAATCAAAATCTTTCCCTAATCTGCTGTTTGTTATAGAACTGCTGCAGTGATCCAGGGGAGATAATGTGCTCTCAGATTACAATAAAACTACTCAGTGACTCTGTTTATACAACTTTTAAATTCAGATGCATCATCTAATACTTTCATACAGTCGTTTTTAAAAGAGGGTCAAAATATTTAAAGAGCAAAGTCACTAAACTTGCTTTGAGCAACACCTCATCTCGGACAGCGAAACAGCAGAAAGTGCAGAGGTCTTTCCTACCATCACACAACCCTGTCACTGAGGGAGCAGCCCATCTCACCTCCTTTACCTCACGAAAAAGGCTCCCATTGTATGTGAGGAATCACCATGGCTACTGCCAGTGAACTGTAAGCCTTTCAGAATTATTAGCATTCCTCTGTACCCCGAGCACTGTAGCAAAGCTGCTCACTTTCCCAACAATCCGCCTGGAGAGCAAAGCAGCATCTCTTTCATCGGCACCTACAGGGATTTACATGAGGCCGGGAGTTAATTAAAGTCGAATTACGGGCTACGGCATTTTATTAGCTCAGGCACAATTCAACAACTACGGAGGATATGTAGCCTTAATGAGAACGATGACATTTAAACTGCAGCTTCAAATTTCAAAATAAATACCAGTGTTCCACTGGAAAGGATCAATCGCATGAATCATCCAGAAAAATGTAATGCAGTACAGGGAAAGAGTTTTCTGCTGCGTCCGAGAAGCCGGAAAGTAATCATAAAACAACGCAACAATTGCATCTTTGTTGAGTAAGCCGTGTGGCACAATGCGGCCACTATTAGTCCCTAATGAGAAAGCCTCTACCAGCGGTGACACAACCAGCTCTGTTCTGCAGGAAACCACGGAGCCGCCTCTATCGGGCCTGCCTGAGACGCCTTCAAACCCTGGCACCTCCACCGATGAAGGGAAAAAGTAGGTCTGCTTCCCCAAGGGGGAGGAAAGCAGGGCTTCAGTGACATTCCATGGTGCGTGCCAAAACATCTTAATGGCAACTTTTTCCCTGGAGTGTTGGCGAGCTGCAGTTTAGGTTTCACGTATTCGTGTCGTTCCAGGTACAGACGACACGTAAACAACTTGACCGAAACCAACTTAGAGTGGAACCTGAATAGGATGCAGGGGAAAAATTACATTTATACAAAAAATTACAAAAATACAATTTTGAACAGGTGGTTGCCTAAAGTTTTTGAAGCTGTGATAACATAACACCACAACTATTGTGTTGTCAAAGAGTTCGCATGAAGCTTGTAACAAAATGAAAGAGAAAACTGATGTTTTTTTTTGCATTTTTATTGCCTTAAACTGACAGAATGCAGCTYTTGACATCCAGTTATTTTTGCAGACTGACAAAGAACAGATAAAAGAACATTTTACAGTSCATTTCTACATTTGCAGTGTGTTTTCAGTCAGTTCCTGCTGCTTTTAGACGCATCATGAAACCTGGGTTGGACCCTGCAGGTTAAAAGCAGCAGTTAGCATCGACACAAAACACAACTGTTTGCTTTTTGTGTATGCCTACAGCATCTTAAGAAGCACTTACCTTGGCAGCTAGCCGCGGTCTGGGGACTCCTAACCAATCACAAAGCTGATTCCTGTGTGGACGCACTGTGGCGACGTCGCTTTCCCTGGAAAGAGCACAAAGAAACAGTTTAGTCATACAAATATGCTTTTAACTAAACTCTACGTTCCAAAGATGACACAGGAACACTAACCACTTAGTATCACTTAGTAAAGTCATGACATCGTCTAACACCTCTGGATCAGTGACATCATCGTAGGTCAGAAGCATCTCGTACATCTGGGTGGATGTGATTTTCCTAATCTGTTGAAATGTTGGTTTTGAAGTTATGTTAACAAATATATATAGTTTCACACAAATAAATCTAGCATACTAGTATAAAAAATACTGAAGAAGTCAAAGACGGATAATAAAGCAGTGGCTCTAAATGTTTTTAGACATTTTTTTTTTTGGTGAACTCACCACAGGGAATGGATGGCACAGCAGCAACAGCAGCTGGACCAAAACTTTCTTCCTCACGTCTCCCTGGAACTGGATCAGCTCACAGAAACTGGAGAGCAGAAGGCAGGACCATCAACCATTTCTGCTTTCTCTTTGCTGCTGTGCATCACGCACTCATTAATCAAGGAGGTGGAAACTTACACGTCGATGCAGGCACGAAGCTTGGAAACATCTTTTGACTTCTTGCACTGTTTGCAAAGATTCAAAAGCTCCACGCAGAACGGATGACTTGGAAACAAAAGGAAAGAAAAGCTTTAAAGTGCCTGTGACGTGCATATCCATGAAATACAAAAAGTAAAAAAAAATAAAAATAATACATTTATATTTAAGAAACTTGGCATAATACTTGTGATTTTACCCATGTTGTCACATAATTGGCCTATTTTCTTTTGAATTTGGCTCAGCCAAAGTGAAACAGGAAGTGACATCAAAGGGGAACACTTTGAGAAAACAAAAGCCCTGTTTTTTGTTTATTTAAACATTATTTGAACTAAGACTATCATCCCTCTATAATAGTGATTAAAATAATCTAAAGAAACATGAGATTTTTCTCTACAGTCTGTGTTGTTAGCTGTTGTAGCAATGCTCTGTTCACTTTCAGACATTCCCCTTTGACATCACTTCCTGTTACTTCAAATGCAAATATCTCAACAACTGTTTATCACAGCAGCATGAAATCCTTTTTTACAATACGTTATTAATGTTATCTTTCCAAAAATATATTCATATTTATTACAAATATCTGAAGTCATAGGCACTTTAATTGTCATAGCTATTATTTATGAAAATATGATAACACTTACTCCTCTTCTGCAGTGAAGATTTCAAAGCAGTTGTTAGCGAGCATCTGACTGAGCATTCTAAGTAAGGCTACACATACTCTAGAAGACAAAAATAAAGATATTACATGCAAAGGTGGATGGTAAAACGAAAAAAAAAAAACAGTACTTAAAAAGTTTTAGGCTTCAGTAAAAAAAAAATATGACCTTTAATGTGAGAATAAAAATATTTGTGATAATTCTGGCATGAACCTTTCATTGTGGAGATTGTCCCTGAAAATCCTCAGCAACGTATCTCCAAACTGGGCCAAAAGTACAGCATCGTTCTGAATCCCTTTCAGGAAGTCAAACAGCGACTGGGAGGAGAAATGCACCTGAACAAAGCAATGAAAGCAGAAGAGAAKAGGAGTTGACCTGAAGCTCGAGCCTGGGGGTCAAAAGTGGGCTTTAAAAACACAAGCAGTGTGTGGGCTGCTTACTATCTGACTGCATAACAGAGAAACATCAATGGAAACAAGGTAAATGTATTCATAAAACAAATATAGACTCGGAGGGGAAACAAACAGCAAAAACTAATTATATTATTGCACTGCAGAAACTAAATCAAGCCTTGATACTTGAAACACACAAAAAAATTAAATGTTCTCGAGATCAAAAGTTTATCCAATTTCTTCTTCTAAATTTAACTTTTACTTTCATGCTCCAAGGTTTAACATGTTAACCAAGTTAAGTTTTCACATTTTAGGGACTCTGGTATTTCAGCAGTTTGGCTACATGATCAATCTATGTTGAAACAACCCCTTGGAACTTGGTGGATGCTCGATTTCRCTCTGTCCTGTGTGAATATATGCCTGTGGGTGTGAGAATCTTAATCTTGTCTGATGAATTACTCAGTTTTTTAAATGTAACCTTGCACAAATACATCCATACCTCTTTTCCCTTAGGATGGATCTGTAGCAGAGGAGGAGATGAAAACAGAAGAAGAGCTAAATTGTGTTTTAAGCCACCKATGGCAGATGGCTTTAACTTTACTGGCCTCGCTGCTGTTATTCCAAGCCTTAAACGTGTTTTCTTTATTACATCTATAAACACCACAAGTTAAAACTAAGCTCACATCTTTGTGGGCAGGACKTTTTCTGGGTTTAACAGGTTAGATAACACTTGAGGGGAGGAATGAGAGCGCAGTTAAAGCCAGAAATGAGCCAAGCTGAACTTCCTGAGAGACCTAGTTTGTGGAAAAGTGTAGCGTAGAAAGCATAGTTTCAGATTTAAACCATGAGAAATCTTTGCTTGCTGGTAGCAAAAGATAAATGATGGAGCCTGAAWATGCTTTGAGTTGAGTTTGGCAGGCATTGACAGAGTGGAGCAACAGGGCTTGATATGTGTGGCTTTATAAATTCACTAAAGGGCTGCTGATCTACAGGAAGCAGAAAGTAATGTTGACACTGAGCACATTGCTCCCTCTGTTGGTCTGTTTTTTTTGTTTTTTGTTGTTTGTTTACTGGCTGCAGAGGACATAAATAGGGCCTTATTTTGTGATGCTGAATATTCAAATAGGTGATGAAAGCTCAAATTATGTATAGAGACATATAGTTTAGATAGCTTTTCAATTGTTTATGCAAGTAAAACATGAAAATTATCAGTGATATTTGTTAATTTAATACTGTGAAAGTGAAGTTTGATGCAACAAGAGAATTACAAAATAATTTTAAAAACGTTGTCTTTTATGCAGATAGGAGCAACACTGAACTTTTGTGCTCAGTGGCCTAAATTGTGCAAGTCTCGGACCTGCTGGAAAAGGGCTAAAGCCCTTCCTTGCACATCTGTTCATCATACTTCTGTGATTTGACAATATTCTCCTTTTCCACCTACTGTGGACTCCGTAATCCCTCCCGCGGACACGCAGAGGCCCAGCAGGGTGTGGTACTGATACTCAGGCAATCCAAGCAGCTGTGCGATGTACTTGTAAGCTTGGGATGGAGCGTTCCAGTTTAGAGTGGTTAAGGTCTCGCTGAAAGACACCAAAAAAGCCAAACATCGGCAAAATATAAGGAGGGTCTTGCAATTAAGATATCGCCAAATCATTTTACCACAATAAACAAYCCGCCTTGAAAATAAATACTGTGAGAATCTGTGAAACTGTTACAGCCTGGAGTAGCTCACACAGGTAAGATGCTCAACAGCTCCTCCCTGTGGGGAATGTGAGGAACTACAGGCTCCGAGCTGTGTAGGAGGCGCAGGAAAATGTTGCCAGCATATGTTCTGTAGCGGTCAATCTTCTCTGCTGCTTGTTGGGCCAGGCAGCACATCATGGGCTTTACCCTGCAGAGGTTTGTAGAATACAAACAAACAAAAAAAGCAATCAGATCATGTTTTTATTTAGAATAATCTGAAATTTAACCCAACACGCTATAAAGGAATAACACCTTGGTGTTTGGAACGGGTTTTGATTCAGATGTAGAACAAAAAACAACTGATCTATGTTGAGTTAAAAAAAGCTTACAAATATTAGATTTGATAACTGTGTGGCTTTTTCATTTAATTTTTCTGTCAAATCAGCAGAAAAGTTAAAGGAAAATGTCTGAAAAAATAAAACAGATTTTCACTCACAGGTCTGATGAAAGGATCTCTGGAGCTTCACTCGACACTAACAAGGTTAGTTCCATTAAACTGGTCATTGCRGCTTTTCTCACCCTTGTTCAAAAAGAAAACAGCAAGAAGTGAAATTRAACATGACTGCCTGTTAACAGCTTCAAATGCAACAACAAAAAGAGTACATGCATACACTGATGAACAGACAACACTGAGACTGAGTGTCAGTAGCTGTTCTATAGTCAAATYAGCATCTTGCCTGCAGGGAACAATTTGTTTATGTGAAATGCTGATCGGCACATTCATACACAAGTCACACCCTGAAACAGATGCTCAGGTGACTGATGGAAGTCTCTGATTAATGGGCGTTTTGGCAATCACTTTAAGGAAATGGAAATACAGTGGGGAAAATAAGTATTTAGTCAGTCACCAATTGTGCAAGTTCTCCCACTTAAAAA